CTGATTATTGGATTAAAAATAGTAAACTGCTGTTTGATTGGTAATAAATTTTAGTAAAAATACTAGTTATTAATCAATTACCAATTAAATATTTGATTGGTATTTAATTAATACTTGATTTTTCACTTTTCAATCAAAATATTATATTTTTTAAAACCTTTTAAAAAAATCAAAAAGTAAAGTTATAATTTTATTAATATTTATTAAACTTTTTGCACTTTTTATTTATAAATAGTATTAAATACTAAGAAATTTAATTGAAATTAATAAATTAAACCTTTCTATATTGATGATTTTCAAATAAAAATACTTAAATGTAAAATTTTATCTAAAATTTAAAACTTTTAAATTAAAAGATAAAAAAATAATAAATAATATTTTAGTTCATTCTATTAATAATTTAGATTTATTAATAAATATCACAATTTACTATTTAATATTATAATATATTCACAATTGACTAATATTAATATTATTAATTTATTTAAAATTTGTATAATATTTAAATTAAGGTGAATTTATTTCTCACCTCAAGTAAAATTTAATATTTTCCATCTTCAAATTATAAATTGTTAAAAATATCAAAAATAGCATTTATAAGTCTAAAGATATTAACTATAATTCAAAAAAAATGCTACAGTATAACACAAAATTTATATATTGTAATTAATTAAGGCTATAAAAATTTTATAGTCATAATTCAAAATTTTTTAAAAAATAATTAAAGTTAACATCTTTATTTATAACTTTTCTTAAGGTATTAAAAGGATCCTGCTTATTATAAAATAGGTCACCCTTAGGTAGAACCCCGAATAATACTAATATAACTCATAAGTAAACTTTAAATACTGAAGTAAAAATATATTTTATGATATAACTCTGTTAATATTGAAGCTAGGAATTTGATTTTACTATTATTAGAATTCTCTCATCAAGACGAATCTAATGATATAAATTTTATTAAAATTGAATCACTGGTTGTATTAAAAATATGGGTATGTAGGATAACTAAATTTTAAAAATATTCCTGTAATACACTTTGAAAAATTTTAATATAAACTCTACGCAAATTCAAATATAAGTTGTATCAGTATTATTCAGAATCTTTTCTAGGTTTAAGGTAAAAATTATATATAAAATTCTTTGCAAATTCTACTATAAAAGAAAATTTTATGTTATATTATTATAATTTTTTTTCTTTTTAACTAATTAACCAATAGATTTTTTTTAAAAAAAAGTAAGGTAAAAACTATTAGTATAAAGTGAGATTTTAATTTTATCTAATGGAATTTACTAAATAATTTTGTACTATATATTTTCAAAAATTATAAATTATATTACTGAAGTTTAACATCACAATTATATGTATTAATTATTTTTTTATTTATTATATAATTTTTTTTATTCTATTATTAATATTAATAAAATATTATAATCCATATTGCAATATTTAATATTATAACATATACTTTACATATATTTTTATTAGTTTTTCAATTTTTTTTTATTTTGCAATATTTGTAGTATAAAAAAATAAAAAAGTACTAAATAAAATTTTTCTGTCCATTTTTAAAAATGCTGAATAATTCTATAGTTTTTATGAATATATACTATGATATCAATACTAATGGTGTAATTTAGTAAAGTTAATATTTTTTATATATTAAAATATTTATTTTTATTTTAAAAATAGAAGTAAATTTTTTTTTTATTTTTTGCTTACTTTTTACAGGACCCTGAAAATCTCTTATAGAACTTACAACTGACTTTTTGCCAAAAAAAACCCAATTTACTTTTTTTTTATTTTCCATTTTTTTGTGAAATTTAGGTCAATCTGCAAAAAAGTTACTACTGAGTTGTATATATAATGTCTAGGATCCTCTTTTTACTAATTTCATCTTTTTTAAATAACAATAATTATTTTATTGTTTTTTTATTATTAAAACAGTTTTTTATTTTTTTTTATTTTTCATATCATTTCTTTTATTTCTTTTTATTTTTATCATTAATTTTACTTTATTTCTTTTATATTTTTATATCACTTTTACTACTTTATTATTTTTTTTATTTTTTTTACATTTTTTATTATTATTTTTTTATCATCATTTTTGCTTTATTATCATTTATTCATTTTTTATATTTTTTCATTATAATTTTCACTTTTTCATTATCTATTTTATTCTTTTATGTTTTTCATTATTTATTTTCACTTTTTTATAAGGTTAATACTTCAACTGTTTTCAAAAAGTTACATAATTATAGCTATATAATAAACAAACTTAATATCTATTACAAATTCTCAATTCAGGTATCTGAATTTTATTCTGAAAAAAGAACTTGATTATATACCTTTCTTTATTACTAAATGAAAAAAATTGCTAAAGCTAACTGATAGTAATAGTTATTATATTAGCATTATAATGTACTTTTAATCAGAATTAAAAATCTAATAAAATACTGGTCAGCATTACATCATAATTTTATTACCAGTAATGTTATTTAACAATATTAAATTAAAGCAAAAATAAAAGAATAATAAAAAAGAAAATATTTTATTATTAAAACATCTTAATCTATTGTTTTTCTTATATATCTTCTTAAAGAAAATATATTTGCAAATGCTTTTGAAGTTAACATTGAAAATATTAAAAAGAAGAATATACAAACTTTTATTAAAATTAATGCAAAAGACATTAAATTATGAAAGGTAAAATTTCTAATAATTGCAAAGATTAACTGATAATATTTTATTATAAGATAAAGACAAATTTTTTGCAATAAGAAAGATTTTAAAATACTTTTCTAACCTATTCTTGATGAATATATTTATATTATTGTCAATTTGCCAGGCAAATATTATTATTTACTTAACATACATATCTTTATTTCTAGTCTAAAAGAAATACTGTCATGTATTTCATTATCAATTATATATTCTAATGATTATATTAAATTAAAAATATTACAAAGATTACTCCTTCATTATCACTTTTGTTTTCTTGTCATCATTTCACTTTTTTTTACATTTTTATCATCATTTTCACTCTTTTATTATTACTTTTACTTTTTTATTATTAATTACCTTTTGATTTTATTAAATTACTATCAAAAAAATATCTAAATAGTAAAGAGTAAATGTGAAAATTAATATATAATATAGTGTATATATATAAGTTTATTTTTATTTTATTTTTTTTTTTTAATAATTTATATATGTTTTATTGATATGTAGTTTATATAATATATATAAGTTTATTAAATTATTTAATTATTTAATAGTTAATACTTACCGTATATAGCGGATCATAGTATCTGAGTATCTTGCAAAAATCAGGGATTTAACCTTGTACCTTCAAGTACTAAATAAAACCTAAAAATTCCTTTTTTTATGAATATCTCATGATCTACTGGTCCATTTTTTTTTATTTTGAAGAGCTCAATAAGAGCTATCAAACAAAAAAAATGGCTCAAATCTGATTACTAGATCACGAGATAATTATAAAATATCCTTCTGGATACTATATAATTCTATGAAATTTTTCAAGAGGAGTACTATACATAGGGGTGTACTACTGGGATACTATATATGATAATAATATAATATATTATATATGTATGTTGCATTACAATTTACTTAATTAAAATGAATATAAAAATATATATATATAGTAATGAGTTTTAGATATAATTTTTAACTTTAAAGGTTTTGAATAAGATTTTTAATATAAGAGAATTATCTAAAATCCTGTCTAAAACTTGTTCAAAACTGTCTAAAATTGTTTAAAATTGTTCAATTACCCAACACTACATGTATGGTATTAAAGGGTTTGAAAAATCTATATAAAAAACTATTATACTATAGTAATAGGAAAATTAGAAGAATTATTGAAAAAAAAAGAATAAATGTTTTTTAATGAATTTTTACAATTTAATAGCATTTTCACTTTTAATATAAAATATTTATTAGAAAAAAAAAAAAAATTTTATTTATTTATATTATACTTTTTACTATATTATTTATAAATCATATGATATAGTAGCCAGTGAAATTTACTAAAGATGAGCATTAAAATGATATTAACATCTTAACATTAATGTTGACTTAAAAATCATTAAAATAAAATAATTTTTAAATTATTTTAATTAATATTTTTTCAAATATTTCAAATATAAAAAAAACTTTATTATAATCCTTTATAATTATTATAATTTAAATTTAATTTTAAATTTTAGTTCTTTTTATTAAAATTAAGAGTTAAAGCTAGGTTGTAATCAATATAGTAAAGAAACTTTGATATTAATTTTTTTAATAACTAACAAATAAAAAAAATGCCAAATTTTTTTTAATAAAATTAGTTTGATGTAAACTTTAATTTATAATTATTTGACCTTTTAATAAATTGCAATTTGAATGCTAAGTGTACTGAGATAATTACAAAAAACTATTTTTGCAAAAGAAAAGTAGATTTGAAATTTGAAAGCCATCCAATTCTCAAAAAAATAATTTTTGACAATTATCTCAATCTACCAATCCAATTTTAAATATTTTTTTTATTTATTTTGAAAAGAATATTGAAAACTACAAATTAGCTTAAAGGTTCATCAAAATCCAATCACTGGATTATGAGATAATGCTTTTAATTATTTCCCCCAATTTTTATATAATAATTTGCTCTGATTTTTAGGTAAATTATGAATTAATACTTTAATGCATTATCCTATTGATTACTATTTTTTGGCTAAACTATTAGCCAAATAGTAATCAATAGGGCATATGCCCGAATAATTAAATTTCTAAATTTTAAAAGAAAAAATTCTCTTGTAACGGTTGACCACTTTCCATTTTTCTATTTGTTTTTAATTATAGACATGAAGAAAATGAAGATTCGTATCAAAATCATGCGAAATTTATTCTTTAGGGTAATAGTGTGTCAATTAATTTATTGTAATATTGATTTTTAAACGAAAGTTTATTAAAAGTGAACCCTCGTGATCATAAATGTGTTAACTCTAAAATTTAATAGCTATCTTAAAAGAAACTTTTAATTCTAAATTTTTAATTTTCATAATCATCTAAAAATTAATAGGATGAAATTTTAATAAAATACATTATTCCAACTATAACTAAAAAAATTTTTTTTATATAACACCCTAACCCACGAAACTCAAACTAAATCCAACCAAGCTGATCAAAGAATTCCCAAAGTTTGCACGCTTTGTTTACGTCAAAATTAACTAAACGCTGCGCGTCTACCTTTTTAAATTTTAAATTGTCTTTTCGGGCCTTCCTCGCACCACGGAGGATCGCAAGTTTACCTCTTAAATATTGTAAAGGCTGCATCCTTAACTTGGAGCAGAGTTCCCGTTCCTCTTTATGAAGTCGATTTGCTCCTTCTAACCCTCTAATGTCAAGGGACGATGAACCCTTTTTCCACGTTATTTTGGGGCTTGTGAAGTTCATTGTTAAATGGTCAATGTCCAGATCATTGATCTGAACGATTAGTTCATCGAGCTCTAATATGAACGGATTTTCGTCCTTTTTTTCTACTTTTTTAACCTCTTTTAGGGTTTTAGACAATAGTTTTGGGTTTTTTTTATAGACTTCGTAAATATTAACCCGAATCACGTATCCATCTTCTGATGATGAGTCGGGCGCTCTTTGTGGATATGGTTGTTTTCTAAGCGACTTTCTATTATTGCGTTGATGTTGACTACATGCCTGTAAAACATTATTCGCCATTATCGGTTGATAATCATTGACCTTGGAATTTTCCTTTGCGGTATTGTAATCCAAGGTAGGTGCTGAAACGTTTATTAACGCGTTGTACATCACAGAACTCGCCTGCGCGTCGTTACTGGAAGGGGACAACAATTCCTGTTTGTTCACAAGAAACTTGTTCATGAGATTTGGTGCCGTGTTGAACATAAGGAGATTTTCTTGAGAACTATTCGTTATTGTCTCAACGTTTGCAAAGCTGTCCATAATCGGTGTTTGCAAATTTTGAGCATTGAAAATCATGGAACTCTCTTGCACATTGATTTGAGAAGTATTTATTACTGGCTGAACTTCTGCAAAATTATCCACAATCAATGATCGAAAATTTTGAGAATTACAAGCTTTTGATGTTCGCACATCATTCGGTGCAATTCTAATACTGGGAGAAACTCTGCTAGTCCTGGTTTCTTTAGTTGAGTAGACCTTTTCAAGAATTTGCTGAGGAGCTTCACATAATCTCCAGCGGTATCGTGAGGCTCGTGTGCTGCTAGTTCTGGTCTTGTTATTTTTATCATTACTAACCTTGTTAGCCGAAGTAACTATACCATTTCTATTCTTGTTGACCAAGGGAGAGATATTAGTTTTAGTCTTATTAACTAAAGGAGGCATTTCGAAAGTGGAGATTTAGTCTCAAATAAATATTCTTTTTTTCTTAATTATAAGGGGGGAATCTAAAACAGCTCATGAAAATTCGTAAATGAATAGTTTTTGTTTATGTAAGAAATTAGAGAGTAAACGAATAAAAAAAATGGTTATGAAGGAAATTAACCGAGATTTTTAAAAAAATATTTGTAAGAGATGTAATTTGTTGAGAGAAAAAATCAATCTTGCGGGGTAGATAACAGATGACATGTAGTTATACCCCTGAAAAATGAATTTATCATCATTCTCCCCTGATTAATTAGGAAATTCGATTAAATGATTCATTGCCAGATTTGACCATACATTGTTTATTTTATTTATTTTATTCGCAATTTCGCATTTTTAATGCATTTAAAACATATTTGTATGTAATTCGATCAAATGTTTAATTTCCGAAATAGATTGTATTAACCATGTTGAGTTATCTATTTCTATTTTTAAATTCATCCACGTGATTTGTATTTTGGCTAAAATCATGGGTAATTTTATTATATTTAACTAATTTCGGTTTTTTATAAAGATTTGAAAAAAACAAATATCTAAAAAAATGAATTTTAGAATTGGCTAATTATAAACAAATTTTTATTGCTATTATTGTATATTTTATACTATAAATAAATCTAATATATATCTAATATATTTCTTTTTTATTTAAAATATTTAAATAAATATTAATAAGCAATAAGCATTAATAAATATAATATATGCATTATTTTTTTTTTATAATTACCCTCAAAGGGAACAATACTTTAATATAATAAATTATTCCATGCCACTTTACAAAGTATTATTGGCAATGTAAAATAAACTTCATAAGCAATATATATATATATATTATGATTATACTATATATAATATAAATTTTAATTTTAATTGATTATAACTTTTTTAAGTATATTTTTCTTAAAATCATAATGAAATTTGAAAAAATATGTATTTAAAAAAGATGTACATTAGATAAAATATAATATATATATTTAAAAGTATGCATTTAGATTATAAATAAATCTTTTATAATCCAATTAACAGTTTTAAAATTGCAACTAATTGCAAAAATTATTTAAAATTTTATAATAAAAGAATTTTATTTTTTATCACTATAGCAATATATTGTTAGGCCTCAAATGTTATATGTTTAAAGAATTAATCATGTAATTTAATTAGTTAAAACATAGCAATATTATTTGAATAAATTAATTATTATTAATATTATTGTATCCTATTAATATATTCTTTATATTTAATACATTTTTCTATTTTATTAATACATTCTTTTTATTTATAAATAATAACTAATAAGTAAATTCAATATAAAAAATAACAATATATGGGGACGCCCGTAGCAAAAGGGGGAATGGGATAATTCCGTAATTTTAAAAAAAATCGCAATTTAAATCACATGATAAATTTGGCAGATCATCACTTAATTGTGAAATAAATTGACTTTCAGACCTTTTTTTTTTTATCTAAAACTAAATTTTACAGGCAATTTACTAAGAGTATTGATTTTCTTTTAATAAGTTTATGTTGCTTGTTAATTCTATAAAAGTAAAATGCAAATAATAAGAAAATTTCAAAATTAAAATTTTTTACTAATATATTATTAATAAAAAACCATATTTTCTTAATAATTAGACTAATAGACATATAATTATAATAAAATCTCAAATTTGAATTTTTTGGTTTATCCCCCCTTTTTGCTACGGGCGTCCCCATATGTAAAATAAACAGATATAACAATTTTAATAATACTTTTAGAATTGTTTAATTTTGAATATTAATAATAAATAGAACCAATTTTTTTTACAGTAATACTTTTAATGAAAATATAATAACAAACAATTCTTTCGCAGATTTGCAGTTTTATTAAAGTAAAAAATATAGAAAAAATATACAAAGTAAATTCCCTAATAACTACTTTAATATAATTAAACTACAAACCACTTATCATACCAATAGTACCTCACGTGTACATTGTCAAGTAATCGTTTGACTCTGTAAGTAGACTTCATTTAATAACAGGTCATTTTAGCCATAAAGGCCCTATCTTCAATATTAGATGATCACAAGACCCACAATCTACATAATATTTAATAATTAAAACTTAGCTTAATTATTTATAAAAACTTTGCAATCTTCTTATAATTGAAATTTCTTTTTTAAATATAATAGTATGTTTATTTTTATTAAATAAAATTACTTTATTACAAATATTACAATTATTTACAAAAAAAAATGTAATAAAATAAAAAAAAAAGGTTAAAAATGATTATTATTATAATCTAAATTATTTTTTTTTACAAGTCAAGTAAACAAAAATAGGAGGGAATATTCTTTGCAAAATGCAAAACCAAATAGCTTGCCAAAGCTATGGAAAAGGATTTGGATAGTACAGCGAAACTAATTCTGTTAGCAGAAATCAAGTTCCTACTTAATAAGATAGTTAACTGACGGGATGCCTGAACTATCTGGAGAGCTATAGGATAGAATAGAACACTATAGTGATTATTCATTATTTGACTTTACTAATTTTCTTTTTTTTATTTTATTATTTTTTACCCTGGCTTTTTTTGTTGAACTCCTTTACATTTCTTTTTGGTCTTGAGTTTTGTATTGCAGTTACAATAAGTCTTATTAGACGTTTACAGGACAAAAATCTGAAGGAGAGGTTTCCCTCTAAGAAAGAACATTTTTTAAAGCAGATTTACTATACTAGTCCAAAGTTTCAACTTGATAGTACACATATGGTTGCCCTGAATGATAGATGGATGGTTTAGTTCCTAATAATATTAGTTTTTTTATTTCTATTTATGTCATCTCAATGTAATAGTTTAGATGCAAATTTCTAATAAAGGTCTCAAATATGCTGCAAATACACATCTAGATGTGTATAAGAGACAGGAATAAAAATCCGGATGAAATACGTAAATTTTTTGAGAAATGACGCGAAATGTTAATAAAAATTTACAAGAAAATAAAGATTTAAAAAAATTTAATAAAATATATATTACATGTTTATTATAATAATTTATGTAATAAATAGAAATTAGTAATAACTAATAAATTACATTAATAATAAATAATAATTTTCTAATTAAAATTTTATAAATATTTTATATATATCATATATAAAATTAAAATTAATAATAAATAATAATAATAATTATTATACAATTAACTAAATAAATCTATAATTCATTAATACAATTTATAATTAATTTTATCAATTTGAATATTCATCATAAATCTAAGAATTATTTGAATAATCTGTTAAATTAATCTGAATGAATTATCATATCTGCCAATCTGTGAAATTAACAAAATTCATCTAAATTAAAGAATTTGACAATATTTTAATAAAAATTAGGTAAATTAAGTTTTGCAAAAATAATCACACTTGTGTTACATAATCATATGATAGATATTAAGAAAGAACTTCAACAAAAAGTAGCGTTAAAAAATTTTTTTCTTTCATAAACTTCCTATTAAACTCCCTATCAACTTCCCATCAACTTTTCAACCAGTTTTTATATCAAGTAAGTTGAGAATTTTTGCAAATATATTAGTAATTATTTTATATTAGATACAACTTGAAGCTGTTTATTTATTTTTTTTTTTTATAGTTTATAGAAAAAATTTATTTAGAAAGCAAAAAAATCTTTCAATAAATAAATAACTCTAAATAATTAATAATGATATTTTAGCGAATTTAGATTATGTATTGATTAGTTGTTTAATTAAATCTATTTGATATTTATTATTAATTAATTTTCAGTTAATTTTTTTTCATTAAATCATTAAATATTCCAGATTTTGTAAAAAGTTTTTTTTTTTTTTTTTTAATAAACTAACTTTATAATATTTTTTTCCTTTTTTTTTCTAGAAACTCCTTTTACTGGTTTTAGATTAAAAAGGTAAATATTTTGGAAAAGGTCTTAAAAGTTTTTTTTTTATATTTTTTGACATTTTTTCTTATATAAAAATGGGTTTTGATCAATTTTAATTAGTACTGCGTCACATAACTGATGATTGGTAAATTCTGTAAATTGGCAGATATGTAAATTTTAAATTTATACTTAATTTAAGCTGAAGTTATAATATTAACTGAATTATAATTATAAAAAAAAGAAATAATCATATTATACAAACCTAAAAAAAAAATTGGTATATGGTGGCCATCACCTATAAATCATACTAATATTATGTGTCTTCAAATTTTTATAAATTATAAATTGAATAGTAAACAGAAAAAACTAAACTGATAAAATAATAGAACAACATGTACTGAATATTTCTATTAAGTTATTTTATAGAATTTAATTCGTGATCTGTAAATAAAGTAGAGAGTCCTATATCAAAAATCGGGATAATTATATAATAGTGTAAAATCTGACGTCATGGCAAACAAAAGTACTAATTGTTAAAATATAATATAAAAACTAAGTTTATTGCCATCAAATTATGTTATTTGGCTTACTTTTTATTGAAAGTCCAGTAAATTTTTTGAGCACTATAAATGACTTACTTATAGGCTTAAAGGTAAAAAATGCCTTATTTTTTAGGAAAGTTATTTCTAATTATTGAAAATTTTACCAAACTTCTAGTAAGAAGTTAGCCAAATGGTATAATTTTATGCTAATGGTTTTAGTTTTTACATCATATCTAAAAAATTTGTACTTTAATTTGCTACGTCTTCAGATTCTACGCTATTATATATTACCATATATAACTTAACCCCAGTTTTTAATAATTAGATTC